TAAGGAGCCACATAGAACTACTGAGGGATATGTTGACAATATTCCTCAAGAAACCTCTGAATATTCAAGAAATACTTAAAAACAGTTTCAAAAGGAAAATAAAAATTAGGTAAGAAGGAAATGGAAACTGATTTTTAATAGACAATATTTTGTGTGAAAATTTTGCTGAACATCAAAATGGAGATTTTTTTCTTTTTACCACAAGCTTAGCAGTTTGTGCCGTTTACCCCATGCTTCAGAACAAATGATTGATGGTAGAGCAGTACAAAAACATACACAGAATTTTCTTCAAAAATATTCATTATCACATCAGTGCTTTGAGTACAAGCACAGTTTTTTCAAATACACTAAGCACAAAGAGAAAAAAACACCATAAAAACCCCAATATTATCAACTGCATCATCAGAGCAGCCCTTCACATAGGAACAGCACAAATGCCCTAGGGGAAGCCATCTGTCTCCTCCAGTAAGCTTTGTAAATATGCAGAATTGTGTTTGTATCTTTTGTTCAATACCTGGCTATTGTCAGTGGCCCATAGGTGGAAGGTAAATTTCCCCTGTACTACACATTAATCAAGAGGATCAACACACCATTACCACAAGGCACATTTCTGTATTTACACACTTTCATGCTAGATTCATGCAAGAAAAAAAGTAGCAAAGACTTGCCCTTACTCATGTTTGACATGCATATACAGCAATACAGGTTATCAATAGTGCAGTCTTACACCATTTTTTCACCAATGAAGCGCTGTATAACAGAAGTTTACCTAAACCAGGTTTGCCATCTCAAGAGCAGACACGTTCGTGACTTTCTCCAAATAATCACACTATTCAAAACTTAACATATCATTTTAAAAGTGTGTTTGTTTTTCTTCATTTTAATGACAGAATGCCATGCATACCTTAATTTAGACAAGAAAAGAAGCGGCACTGGCAAAAAAAAAAAAAAATTAGCAGAAGATATTTATTCCCACTGTAGGAAAAGCCTCATGCTTTTAAATACTATTAGAATGGTTTCTGCAAGCATGGCCAACTATCTAAAGGTCATAAAAGTCTCTGCAACACAGCCCTAAGTCTGAAGATAACTTTAAAATGGGTAACTTCCATAGCAGCAGCTATAACCTGACTGAAAATAAGGTCAAGTAGGCTACAGTGAGATCTGGCTTACAAAAAGGAGGCCTATAAAAATGAGCAGCTTTAATTAAGATAAACTGCATGTGTTATGTATACACTAATTTTCTACTTTTCCACCTTTTGAGTTAAGAATTCAAATGCAATGTTTTAAGTCCAGTTCTGAGTATATTTCATGTCATTTCTTTATAAAATGTACTTTTTATTCATTTCTTGATTTGATTTTACCAGTACATGTACCTTATGCTAACCCTATCCATTCTCCACATAGCAGTACTTAAAACTGGTAAAACTGAGTAGAAAAAACATAGTTTATGCTTGATTAGCCATATAACTCATGAAAAATCTCAGAGAAAAGAAAATTTAAGTTTAGCATATGTTAATCATAGAATATGCTGAATTGGAGGGATACATTAGGATCATTGTATCCAACTCCTGGTCCTGCACAGGACACCCCAAGAATCACCATGCAGTATGCATTATTCCTTTAAGTACAAGATCCACTGAAATTAAAGCAGTTTCCCAAAAATAAAAAGTACAGCAACAATCAGAACTGCTACATCTAAATGTAGCACCTACGTGCATTTTTAAAGACCTATGTGCAATAGAAGAACTTTCTCACCAGACTCTGAGCAGAAGCCCACCCTTCAATCCAGAACAAAAAAACCCGCAAAAACCCCCCTTGCTATTGTCAATAATAAATAAATATTCAGAAAATGCATAACTGGAATTTAAACTAGCTGCAGTTACCATAGAAACAAACAAGACTTACTCAACACTTCCTACTCTATTCCATTATCATTACCTCATGAACTTACATGGAGAACATTGTTCCTATTCCTATGGAAACCCTGGAAATAGTCCCCATCATTGTCACGGATGAAGGCAATCTAGAACTCATCTCTTGGATTCATTTATGTGCCACCAAGGCCTATGAAAGATTAAAAATAACTAAACAAAGTTCATTTCTCAATAGAGATGAGCAGAATCTAAACCATTCCCCATGAACAGCTGGCAGGTGACTGCCAAACACTGACAAGCAGTTGATAATCTCTGAACATCTGCAATGACCAGACCTGTGCAGTTACACTGACACCCTGCAAGGTACATGCTCAGCAGTTTGGGCACTGCCTTGTTACAAATGCCCCAGCTACGGAAGAATCTGCTCTTCAATCCTTACGTCATTTCTCTTCCTTTTTGACCTCAATGAGAAAAAGGGAACTTTTATACAAATGTAATAGTGTATAAGCTAAAATACATATGTAATTCTTTCCATCTCCAAGAACTAAAATAACTTTAAAAAAAAAAAAAAGGCAGCAGCAAACAAAACCAAAAAAGAGGACGGAAAAAAAGAGGGGTGGGCCACCAGCAAAACCACACCATATCACCCAGGGCATCTTGTGATTCCTGCCTGTGCAGTCAGATCTAGAAGCTGAGAAAGACTTTCCCTTTTCTCCTTTAAGTTCAGAAACCTTCCCTTCGCTAAAGGGAAGACATGGCACTATTTATTTTTGCCTGATTAGAATATTCTGTAAGTCCCACCAAATCTTGCATAATTATCTAAGAAAAATTGTAATGTCAGAGCAAAACAAATTGTTTTATCAAAGAATGCACATGCTTCACTGCTGCAAAACTAATGCTATATTGGACTTGTAAAAGGCTTGGAACATTATGAGTATGAAAGACTAAATCACGAAAGCATGCATTCAATTCCTACTCTCTAGCCAATTAATATATTTTATTCTAAATTAAGTTTTATTCAGATTAACTGCATCCTAAGAACATTACACATGCTCAGAAAAAATAAAAAAAAAAGCTATGTTAATTTCACAAGAAGATTGGTTACAGGACATTTCCAGGATGAGAGGGATCCAAAATGAAAAAAAAAGAAAGAAAAAAAAGAAATTTATGAGAACTTGTCTGATCCTTGAGAAAATGTATTAAGCTTCATATTTGAATTCTGAACTGTTGCATACTCATGTTTGCTGAAGGTTTCTCTTCTTGCTTTGAAAACCTGGTGAAATAGCTGATACTGTCAAGAACACTGTCAAAAAATGTATGTGCATACCAGCCACAACTGCTTGTCCAATTTCTTATCTGTCAAATACCAAATTATCCTTTGAGATATTATCCTATCTCATTAAAGCAAGGAGATAACAGCCACTATGTCTTTGGAAACAGGGAGAAACCCCACAATTCCTGAACTATTCAATTTCACTCTGGCAGCTAGAAAACTATTACATACTACAAGAGGTTGTGGGGATTTTTCCCCCCCTCAACACTAAAGAAATTTGAGTCTTCTCATTCAGAAAAAAAATAAAAAGAAATTAAAAGGAAATAAAAAACAGCAAGATCAAGTCTAGCTGTGAAAAATACTGAAAAAAACCAAAACACCCAAGGAAACAAACCAAAAGGCACATAAAATACCTATCTATATTTCCCAGGAAAATTTACTATAAATACTTACATAATTAAAGATCCACTGGTTTTACCCAAATCAGTAGTGAGGCCCTCTACCCTTTTCAATAATTTCTCAGAAGCCCAGTCAAGGGTCTACAGATTCCCATAGACTGAACTGTGTCAAATTCAACAACATACATATGACTTCATTCTGTATATCAAACACTCAATCTAATTAAGAAAATCTTTTTCTTCTTACTCAAATGATATAATTTCAGGAAGCAAAATCAGTTCATAAACATGTTAAATTTCCTGCATCTTGAGATTAATTATGAATGTGTCTGATTCTTCTTTGAGAAACTCACCTCAGAAATCTGATACTTCCATCATCTACAGCATTTTACAGCACTTCAAAGTAAATCAGTATTTACCTGAACAGATTTTATGCAAACTTGTACCTTTTACTGTTATTTATATTTATGCCCTTGAACATCAAATGCAAACAGAACTGCATGGGTTCAATTAGCATGTTCTCAAATCATGTGTTTATGCAATTTAACATGGACGCATTTTTAAATCACATGTCAAATTCCCATCTACATTGTTGAAGAGCAAAAGTCACATTTTCAAAGGTTGTGGCACCAAGAACATTATATTTCAGTGATGATTTTATTTCAAACCAGTTACAAAATTTCACTGAGATTCTCTGAAGTTTTAAATGGTATTTTAATCACTTTAGCTTCTAGTTTATAAGTACGTGCATTCTAAAAAGAAAACTAATCCAAATTACATAGGAGACACTTTTTACTGCAGTGAACTCCACAAAAAACCCTTGCATTTTAACATTTGACAACGCTCAAAAGCAATTATGTTTAAATTAAGTGAAAAATGAAAAAGTTTTTTTTCCTTTAAACCACACATTATCATCATCTGTCTCCATTTGATATGTAACTGCTCACAGGTTTGAAGGATTTTTACACTAATAAAGAAAAATATAAAGGGAATATAAAATCATTATTAGTCTATTGAATATATCACAAATCTCGTTGCATAGCCATTTCAATCTTGTCTTTGCTTTACCGTTCTGACCACTCTCTACATTTGTAACACTGGGCTTAATTTCCAAGTTTGCTTCCATTCTTCCAGGTACAATTTTACTTTCCGATAAAAACCAGTCTGTATTTTATAGTCTTAGTTTTAACACCTAATATGAAATTAATAAATTCACTGTTTGTAGTTTGAAATCATGGGGCAGAGTAGTGAAATAGGCTGGTGAGTGGACTGGCAGTCATTTTTTCTTACTTGCTGTCTCTGCCTCTCTCTTGCAGTGGGAACTAGTCTGCTATTTGCAGAGAAAATTGGGATTGACTCAGTGCTGATGCAACAAACCAATCAAAAATCCTCCACTAATGCTGGGACACAGTGCTTCCTTTAAAATAAAAACATAGAAAATCATAGAAAACTTACAAGTACTCTGCCAGTTAATGTCTGGGCAGATATCATGACTCCTGCCCAATCCTTCACAGACGTCATCCATCCCACTTCTGCTGCCACATTCTCCTCTTTTTCATCTGTTGGTTTGCAGGCTCCATCTGCCTGTGTATCTCCACCACCATTGATCTTCTGGGCCTCCTGCAAAGAAAGTATTTAGGTTAGTTAATGTTAGCAATTTGACAGTGAAATTCAATATATAGGTGGGGCCAAGAAAAGTAATAAAAACCAGAAAATCTGTCTTCCTGGATCCCTGCTAGGTAAAACTAAGAACCTATTTGGCCACATCTTGAGAAATAAGAGAAATAGAAATGTTCTATAAGGTACCAGACTAACTAGATAATACTCTCCTTGACATTACATCTTCAAAACATATACTTAGCACTAAATATACAATATGTTACTTTGTTACAAGCAACATAATTGACAACAGCTCTGCAATTACAGAGTTACATACAAATGAATCTGTCAGACATACACCCAAAGACCTTTCGATGTATCAGTTCAAAATACTGCATACTAGGTGTGAACATAATTCATGTACAATTTTAATTTCCTACCACTAGAATTAATTATCTGAGTAAACCTTCACTGAGAAGCATGATGTAACAAGACAGCAATTATGAAGTGTGAGGGGAACAAAATCCATCATAAAGAATCTGCAGGGAGCTGCCACGCTATCAGTGAACCTGTGTTTCAATGGAAGTGTTTAATATATCACAGGAATTATTCTGTCAGTAAGTGGCTCTCACAGAAAGAAGAGCTAGAAATTAGAGGAGCCTCAGCTGCACCAAGCTCACTGATGAGTAACATGCACTGGAATTCATATCAGTCTCTCATGGATGCTGCAGCAAGGATGTCGTGCTCTGTGACTGCCTGTGATGTGCAACAGTCATGGGTGCTGCACAAACATCAAGGGAAACGACAGGAAAAGCCAGCATGGATTGTACAGTGTTTAAATCATACTGCATGCAAAGCATCACTGTGCCACGAGCATGCCTTTGGTGACAGCATAATACTAATGACTTCCTGAATACTTGACAAGTTATGCAAAACAAAAATAGGAGAGGCAGCAAAATCCAGCGCTGAAGTAATTCCTGAGCACTAGATCTGCATTAGTGTTCCAAGCACTCTGCACAGACCAACAGCTTGAAGGATCTTGTTTATAGATTACTTGTCTGTAGGCCAGTAAGCAGGAAATCAATTGCCATTAATCCCCTTTGGGATATCTTTCATACAAGCAAGGATGCTGTATAAATGGTGGTTATGTGATAATTATTGCAGTAGAAGTATATCCTGTGATGGTCAAAACGCATAGCTGTGAGATGGCCTTGAGGACGCAGCTGGACACAAGGGTACAGGAACTTCCTGAGAGTAACACTGAGCTAATAAGGCAATGTCATTGAATCTGTCAGCAATGAACAGTAAAACAATGCTAAAAATGTAAAACAGAGACCAACAGTTGTTTTCAGAGAAGCTCAACACTGCAACTTAATTAGCTAATCAGATTCTTTTTTCTCTATTAGTTTCCCCCCCAAAAAGCAGGCTCCATGTTCTTACTAGCGATTACAGCAAAGTGTGATGTTACTATATTGATAATAACAAATTATTCAGAGTTACAACAGTAATTCAGTACACTTCTCAAGCAAATAACGCAACAGAAGTTTAAAATTACTTTGTATTTGCATAGCTGGACCTCATTCACAGACAAATTTGGACACAGTGAATCAGATGTTCTACTCTCGGCGTTGAAAGACGTATCCTGTGCCGCACACGCACGGAGCACAACCTACAGATGAGCTCACTGCAGAGGACAGCAATGTACGACAGGAACGCTTGCCTGGAGCCAGCTGGGACCCAAAGCCACGGAGATCAGACCCAAAGAAATGCCTTCACCACCATCAAGGTTTTGATTACAAGCCAGGAAAGAGAACACTAGGCTCTATACTCCAAACAATACTGAAGCTTAGGCTACCCAGACATATCTCCAAGGCCTCACTGGTCCTAGCTGCCGTCCCCAGGGTCTCCCCTGACTCAAACGCCCTCTGTGGCCCAGGACACCACTTCAGCCCCATCCAGGACTCCCACAGCCCTGTCCTTTCCAGCCTTGGTGAGGCCACAGCCAGTTCCCTGTGCCTGAGCCACGGGCTGCTGCCCCAGGCTGGCCCAAGAAGGCTTCAGGCCAGGCCTTGTCCCACCAGCCCAGTCATGGCGTTGGGCAGGCCCCTGGCCCAAGGGAGCCCCACAGCCCTGACAGCTACAGACTGCTTAAAACACCACACATGACATTTCTTTCCCTCTTCCCACCAGATTCTCTGCCTTTTGTAACTGCTAGAGCTTGTCTTTCAGAACTGTAAGCTTCGCACCAGTTTTACTCCATGGTCCTCCTCTGCATTGCACAGTGAGCTTTCATACTCTGTACAAGTTTCTATTGAATGAATTAACGTGGCTTTCATAGTAAAGGAGTATAATTATCTCTTGCTCTCAGATAAGAAAGTGAGGTGGTGATGAGGTACCTAACTCAGTCACTAGAGAAGTCACTGGCAGAGCCAGGATGAAACCACAGGTTTTTTTGATATTTTTACGCAGCAGTGCTTGTTTAAAAGTGCACAGATGCACACCTTGCTAAAAACACAACTACAGACCTTGCTATAGAAAGTCACAGAACTACAGATCACTAAACAAAAAGCTGAATAAAAAAGTCAATTTCATTGAACTTGTATTAAGGTTAGAAAATTCTTTTATTGTGTACATTTTCCTTACCCCCAATCTTTTTGTCAATAGATGTGATTGCTCACAAGATATAAAAATAATTTAAAATTTCCTAGCACTCAATGAAATAGGAGGCAATTTACTTAATTGAAGGAGAAAGGTAGCTTTTATATTTTGAAAAGATTTTCATAACCTACAGTTCTTTTGCTGTATTGACTTTTTGTTGCCTACAGAATAGAGCAGTAAAACATGACAAACCTATTCCATATTTGATTCTCTAAAGGTATTAAAGTCTTTAATGCATTGAATGGCTATATTTCTGTATTTATGCTACTTACTTCACCTCTATTAAAATCTCCCACCCATATTATTTCTTAATTAAAATTTAAGAGAAAATAATCATCCCCTGCCAAGTATGATTTGGAACAGACTCTCCTGATCAGCCTAGCTCCTGCCATTATTGTAGCTATAATTAACATGCAGATTAGCTGCTGTTATGTAATATTTTTATTCAGTTGGGATATTTTAAATTTTTTTATCTACATAGCTAGCTTTTATCTTACTTAATTGGCAGTTGAGCATTAGGAAAAGTTTATCCCTGAGTCATTATGCAATTGTGCAGTGATCACTAAAGGAGGTTTAAAGGCTGTTTTTTTTTTATGCTGAGCAAAAAATTCAGTCCTGTTATTAAGGATATAGTCTTGTTTCATTGCTAGTTCCTCATCCCAGTGCACTGAGTAACCAACACCTGAAAAAGGTGCTTAAAGTAATAACCTGACAGTGACGATAGCTGCTTAATTATTTACAAGTTCAATACTACAAGTAAGAGATTTTTACCCACTCTGCTTACCAGTTTTCATTATTTTAATTACTTCATGGCAGGAACACGCAGGTAGATGAAATGAGAAGCAGTATATTGTGAAATATATTATTCCTGAACTTAATGACTAAATGGAAACTAGCATGATGAGGAGGTGTGTGTACAGGAATCAGTACTCAGTGTTCTACCAATGGCTTGGCACAGACCTGGACTAGAAACTTCAATGGTTTGTCTCCTATTTTCAGCAATAAGTATTGATTTAGATTACCTAAGTTCTGGGATTCTTGAAGACAGTCACCTTAAGGAAGAACTCAAAAAGGCAAAATTCACTCAAAAACAGGTAGCAGTTTTCAAAACATAGTCCTGCCTGTTCCATTTCACCTCTAAAATACCTATACAAACATAGAACCACTGCACAGACACCTCATCCAACTCAGGACAACACAAAATCAAATCAGAAAATTATTATGAAACCTTAAAACATCATCTAAGAATAATCTTTTTACAAGTCCTAAAAACACAGGACAACATGAACGCAACCTGAAAAGAAGTCTCTGATGTATGGTACTGAAAAAACTTGCTATCTTGTTAAGATATGTAAAAACATATGAAGATATGTTAAAACATATGAAACAGGGAGTCAATAATGTGAGGGAAAATACCTGGGTTGAAATGTGATGAAACAAAAAAAAGGATTCGGTAACCTCATTTACCTAACATGTAACTAGCTGAATATTACACAAAAATCATTAAGTATCACCTGTAATGGGATACAGAGCAATGAGTCATGACCACATCACTCAAGAGAAAGTAGTATGCTCAGTCTAAGCAGATGTTTAAAAACAGTAACACCAACTGGGCAAACACAGTATTGGCCTTTGACTTCCACCCTAGATAACATGAGATGAGAAAGGGCCTGTCAGAATGGCAGCTGTTCCTAGTTTAATGTATGCAGTAATAATACAACAAGAAAATATCATTTGGAGCAGTTAGGAAAGGGCTGCTTTAGATAATGATGCCAGCAAATAATAACTTTATTAACTGCCCTTAAATTAACAGCATTGCATTCCTAGAGCCTGGCATTTTATGAAATGTTTCATATCAATCCACAACACTATGATAATGCCATTCTTACAAATTAGGAATTTGTATTTACGTTTCTTTCCTTTTCATTTACCTGTTTCCCCAAAGCCACCAAGAGGTGCTATGTGAAGAGAAATAATTTTGCATATGAGACTATTTCTCCTTTCTCTTGGGCAAATGTCTAAAACACTGTTTAAAATTATTAGATTTCTATCAAAAAATTAATTTCATGTCCTTCAGTACATCCACTCACCACTTTCACATCTCCAAATAGGGGTCTTAAATTTATATAAAACCATAATATTATGCTGCATTCTCTGAAGCTGGGCAATGTACAGGGACTGTTAAGACTTCAGGTACCTACTGCCATAGCAGACACCTTCTGTCAGATAAAGTTACCATCTATTGTCTCCATCTAAACAGCTACTGAGTACCAGTTCATCCAGTGCCAAAAACAAGCAAACAAAAAACCACCCTGCAGCTGTTCACCTGTTCTAGTGCAGTTTAGGAAACAAAAGCTTTCACT